TTGTTGTTGTTGTTTTTTTTTTGCAGCACATCTGTAGAATTACCAGTGTCATATTTTTTTAGAAAGATAATATCAAAAAAAAAGATCAACGATGTCGGCATTCACGTAAATTACATTTACGGTAAAATAAATAGTATTTACGTTAAATCACATTTCCGTGCAAACGATTTAAAGATTACATAACGCAATTTATACATCCGTTGTCAATTTGTCAGTAACTACGACAACCATCACTAGCAAAAGCATAGCAAAAAGTAATATAAATAAAATACGCCTTTATATGAGAATCATTATTATTTTGAATGAAAAGAAATGATTTTAAATACAATTGTAAAGTCTATTTGAGCGAATAACTTAGAAAATAGTTTACTTTTGCCAATTCAACAGACGTGATATTCATATTCATAGGGGATTTCCTTAAATTGATAAAAGAGACAAAAAAATCACAGCACAAGATTAATTATTATATCTTTGTTTGCGCAGATGGTACGGATTAAAACGCACCCGTTATCCCAAATTTTATTCCTATACAATGACTAGAAAACATTATGCCAAAAATTTATCGAAAAATTTATTCTCAATGAATATGCAATCCAATGATTATTCGAAGTGAGTTTTTATGTACAAAAGGACAAATTTAATGAGATTTACCATTCCAGAGTAGACGGCCAAAAACCTGACACGTTTTACAAACCACTCGATAAGGCGACCGATCGATCAAATTAGAATTTAGACGTTAATTTTTGAGGAGGGGGAAAAAACCGGAGAACCAGGAGAAGCACAGCAGGAAATCTACGACCAACTTTAACTCTGATCACATACGACCGAGGTCATATGGATGAGAGGCGGCGCATTAGCTGCGCAAAACACCTGCGATTTCCTTAATCTCATAATTAAACTCAAGCTGTTAGATTTTTTATAAAAACCAGTGTTGCTATAGTGACAAACGTTTCCCTGGGTGTTGTTTTCTTCGAGCTGTGTTATTCTCTCTCAAAATACTAAACATAAAGATTTAAAAGAATTTTTAATGTTTTATTTTCTACATTTTTTGAAGATTTAGATGACTTAGAACATAGCAAAGCAACGTAACTCCTTCATTGGTGCCTAAATTGCCTTCCAGCTGGATCATCTAATGAAGCTTTTAAAAATTGCAGTCCGTCTTTTCCCAAACTCAATTTACCAGCCCAACACGTTGTTAGCATTTTGCTTGGCTTGTTAATTTTTTCAAGATGTGCACGTTTTACTCTTAGCTTCTAGATGAAATTAACCTGAGTTTCAGGCCCTCTCTGCTCCTCCCCTCCTCCCTCCCCTTGGGCCAAGATAGGCCCATCGTTATTCAAGGGAAGTGTAGCTAAAACCATCATAACGAATTTTGTCAATTTAGGCTGATACGAAGGGAGCTTTTCTGAAGGCCACGACAAACGATCCCAATATTTGACCCAACAAAGGTTAGCTAAATGTTGGGTCAAATGTTAGGATCGTTTATCGTGGCCTTTAAGGGTTTCTTTGTTTTAATGCCCAATCATAGATACTAGTCTGGCTTATGATTATATTTTTATTTTAAACTTGTACAAATTAGCCTGCGTCGCAAAACTTCCTAGTTGGCACAGGAGAGGTTGGGCCCCAATCTTGTTAAGTCCCGAGAAAAACCAACTAGGAATGCTTGGATTGTGCGTAAAATTGTCCTATATCAGGCCATGTTTCATTTCTTTGTTTAACGGTTGCACATGAGAAGACACATGAATATGGATACAACTCAAACAAAGAATCTTGTTCTCAAGACCATGTGTCATTCTCTTGAGTTTGATTTCTTTGTTTAACGGTTGCACATGAGAAGACACATAAATATGGATACAACTCAAACAAAGAATCTTGTTCTCAAGACCATGTGTCATTCTCTTGAGTTTCATTTTTTTGTTTAACGGCTGTGCATCGGAAGACACATGAATATGGATGTTATCCAAACAACGGATCTTGTTCTCAAGACCATGTGTCATTCCCTAGAGTATCGCCTCTTTGCTTAACGGTTGTGCATCGGAAGACACATGAACATGGATACAACTCAAACAAAGAAACTTATTCTCAAAAGACTCGTGGTTGGAAATGGGGAAACTTTACGCCCAAGTTTAATAAAAGTAGTCTATACAGACTAAAGAATAAGGAGACGAGTACATGAATGTATATTTCTTTCGACAGATGAGTTCCAGCGTGCTGTTCGTATTTCAACTGGTCACACCATAGATCCATATGTTGTCCATACCATATTCCAGCTGTTTGATATTGATGGTAAGTTAACGTGGTTTTATCGTAGTTCTGATTACCTGGTAATATAGCCTGCTCTAACAAGCTGTTGAAAAGACATGCTAGGATTTTTGTGAATTCATTTAATATTTTTTATACATCCGTTCATTGGTCAAACACAAAGCATTCAACCGAGGCTGCGAGGTTCAAATTTCATCAATCCTTTGAAAATGCCTTGTAGCCTCTATTCAGTGCTTTGTGTTTCACCAGTTAACTGGCGATGTATGGAAAGTGGTGGATTGCGCAGCGCACTGATTCTAGAAATAGCTTAAAGATTCGGACAAACATTGCATTCTGTTTAACCGCTACGAGGATTATACGAACCGATTTTATAATTTTTACTTAAAGTTACAATAATAACCCATGTAAAGTAAGATCAACTGCGATCGGCTGTGAAAATTATCTTCTGAAAGTAAACTTGTAAGTTTGTTTGTCCGAATTTCGCCTCCTTCGTTTTTATGACGTCACGGTTGCGCTGCGCTATTGCAACCGTTTTTATCTAGAACCCAGTCCCTCCAGCCTCTTTGATATTCCTAACCCACAGGAAGCCCAGTAAGGAAGTTTACTAATAAACCATGAAGAATGCCAAATCATTGAGCAACTAGAATATGCCTACCAATGCGTTTATCTCACAGTCAATAGAGGTTTTTCACCATCAAGTGACGACAACCATGTTAGATTGCAGGAACGATTCAATCGTCTTACATAAGAAAGAATTCAATTCCCAAAGGGAAAAGGGATTTTATTGTTCTGCCATCTAACCACAGGAGGCCCAAGCAGTATTATGAGCGTGGTGCAAAACCTCTATTCATTTTGAGATTCGTTATGTAATTCTTGTAGGAGATGGGAAGTTGAGTTATAACGAATTTATTGAATTAATGAAGGACAGGCAGAAACGCGGTTTCAGGGTAAGTACTAATAAAAATAAAATAATAAATAAGAATAAGAATAATAAGAAACATTTCATCATTGTCAGAATAAGCCTGGGTTCTGTAAATAGGATGCATTCTGGTCTAGCTTGGGTACAAACGACACCATATAATAAATGTTTGTACCCAAGCTGTACCATAATACAAATGTACCATGTTGGCCACTCTCACAAAAGCATTATAGTCAGCTGTGCATACAGGTACTAATAAGATATCTGAAATTTTAGATTCCAGTGACAGATAAAGTTGGCTGGGAAGGCTTCAAATCATGTGTGAAGAAGGAGTTGTCTTTAGTAGACTCGCACTAGCTTACTAACTGTATCCTCTTATATTCGTCAACCCAGGGAGTTTAGTATAACAATATTAATGGGCAGCTGCATCAAATTTGTGTATTTCAAGGTGGAGTGCCTTAGGAATTCCAGGGGATAGTGATTGAAATTGAACGAAAAACCCTGGGATGTGGTAAAATAATGATTATATATCTATAAAGCTAGGTAAACGATATTGGAAAACCTGGGTAATTTGTTAGAAATAGACAAAGGCCTTGCACCATCAAGTGATGGCAGCCATGACAGGAGGCACAACACTTAGAGTCTTGTTCTCCTTGGAAACTTAATTCTTTGTCATGCAAATCAGATTAGACCAGATTCAATTGTTCCTGTCTCCTGTCATGGCTGCTATCAGTTGATAGTGCAAAGCTTCTATAGATCTGTAAAAGTCTAAGACATTGGCCATTCTCGCGGTGGTGAAAATACGCAGTACAAAATGCTGGGGTTGGAGAAAGGGGGGAGTGGAGATACGCAAAAGGATATCTCATGATATAACGTCTCATTTACATGTAAGGAATATTGATTGAATTATAATATGTTTAATAATCAGATCCACAGCTTGAGTGGGCCATGACTCAACTCAGTATGCCTCGCTTTTCAATGCTAGTGGGCCACAAATGAGATGAAATGGCCAATAGTTAAATGGCTCATAGTTAATAGTATGACCATATTTGTGTTAATTTATTCATAGGATACATGTTTCGCCGTAGCTAAGCACCATGTATATAAATTTTAAATTGAATTTAGAATTATTTTTTTTAATTTGGTCCTTGTAATTCTGCTAAATATTATTTAATCAACTTTAAAATAATTTATATAGTTACGTAACCCTTTCCTTTTGAAGGCAAAAGTCACATGAACCTTTTCGCGCTATCTTTTGCTAATTTTTGTAAATTCATCTACTACCAACTCGGAAAAAAAACATGAAATAAAAAGTAAATACAATGATATGAATTCTGAGTCCTTACAAATATATTAATAGGCATTAATTCTTGTTGTTTCCGTTAGAAATCCTAGACCTTTTGATATGAGAGGGTCAAGTGAGTCAGCCAACAAGGAAGAAAGCCAAAAAAAAAAAAAAAAAGGGGGTGAGAAATTTGGAAACTTTCAACTAATAGCAGTCTATAATGATTGTGCTGTCCAAACATTTGTTCTGTGTCAGCATGTCACACACTGTGGGGATATGCCTGGAGTGTCACCACACTGTTGGGACATGCTGGTATATAACAAATACACGGAAATGAAGGTTTAAAAAAAAACAGACTTAGAATTTCATTCCCTTGTCCTGGAGCGCATTCTTTTTGTAGTCGAGCAGTTGGTATACATTTTCTTTTATATTCATATTTTAGAGGTCAGAAAAAGGTTCAAACGTTTTCCGGCTTTGCTTACGCGGTTTTCTAGAACTATTGACTAATCTAAAATCAAAGGGATTAAATTCTCTTTTTAAGAAAAATAATACCTTTATTTTCTGGTATAAATAATGGCGCTGTACTTTAGAATACAGACAGTGTTCATCAGCTAAGCTGTAGTGATCATCATTCAGGTGAGACATATTTTCAAAAAAAATTTTCTTCCATAGATTTGTCGTTTTAATAGACATCCTATATCGAAATTTAAATATTTTATCTTTTCTGGTTTTGATTTGTTTTTTTTCTTTTTTTTCTCTCCTTTTCTTTTTAGCATCAATTTTCACCATGTCGATCAAGATAAAGGCGCTTTTTATTTGTGTTTGTTTCTTCCTGTGCACTTCCTTGTTTAACGTCGTGCAAGGATGTGGCGGTTCGTCAAGCTCCGGTAACTCCCGACAAAATGGCATGTCCCGTCGATATCTCAACTGGGATACCAAATTTTTGGAGTCCTTCTCATGGGTCTGTAAGTACTATGTGCTGAATACCTTAATTTCTCGTACATGACACTATTTGTTAACCAGGAAAGGCACTCTGGGAAATTTATATGTATTAATATTTTCGTCTGTTGAAATACTTACACTTAGAAATAGAAGAAAATAGAAAATGTCAAAAGTAAAACTGTCAGATTAACTTTTAGAGAAAAAGTGCAAAAACTCGGCTTTCCATCATGCTTTGTGCAACGGATTCGTGCTCGTGAACATTCGCTATTTTAACAAACCGTAAAACAACCTCTCGGCTGATAATTTCATCTTCAATATAGACATCTATTTAAACAAACCCTGAAACAAGCTGTGTTCAATGGTATTTTCTATTCATTCATTTTTTATTGTCAACAGGTAAAGGGACGAAGGAAAGCATATGGAACATTCAAAGTGCCCATGAAAATCACCATGATGATCGAGTATGGGGCTACCATTGTCGTCATAACCCATACATCACAACAACCTGTGCCTGGAGCCTCCCTAACAATCAGTATCTTAATGACTACAATGGAAATGTGAATTTCATATGTCCCAGAAATGGTTACATTGAGGGAATGCACGCCAATACGTTCAGTAACGTCTACAACGATCGAAGGTTTGATTTTAAATGTTGTGATGGGACTCGCCTGCGGAGAAACTGCAAATGGACGTCTTATGTCAATAATTGGGATGGTGACATGAACTACGATGTGCCATCTGGGTACTACTTGGCTGGCGCTTACAGCTATCATATCAATGATTACCAGTATGTAGAGAAACGGTTATTTATACTTGCCTTGCCTTTCCTTGCCATACCCTCTTCTTTTCCCTTCCTTTTCCTTTCTCTCTTTCTTTTTATCATATTTCTTCTCTTCTTCCTTAAACCATTAAACTGTTCTTGCCTATTTTGCAAGTCTGAATTACGAACCGAGGGCACTTATTAACTTCTTGTTGCGATCTCCTCCTTTGCAGGGACAGGAGATGGAAATTCTATATTTGTCAATAGAAAAGAAAATCCCATCGACCGAATAGACGACATCAGGCAACAACTTATGATATGCTAGAATCCTTCAGTCTAGAGTTTGAAGATATTTGATTGTCGTAGCTATTGGGGTAAATCAAAGGTGAAGGTTGAATAATTATTTAAATATTATTAAGAATAAATACATTCAAGAAACAGCTTTAAGCATCCACGTATGGTTACTTAGATCGTAATGGGAAAAAAACCCCAGAGGTGTTAAATAAAGGCAGTATTAGGGTAGGCTGTCACGAAGGGAGGTGCCTCGGATCGGCTATCTTATTCAAAATACATCTCATGAATTATTTCGTACTATCCAGGAGTGCAGGAGCGTCAATCAGTGTTCACATACGGTTTAGTATTTATCCAGGAATTTTAGACAAAGAGGGGGAGGGGCAATTTGGGGTCCGTTGAGACGAATCTCACTGCTGAGAGAGGAGGTCTGAGGGCATGCTTTCAAGGAAACTCTTAGTCTTAAATATGATTTCCAGAAGTGGTATTGCCATGCGTTCTGGAAATATTTTAGACCAAGAAAATGATCAACAAATCCTAAACTGAAAACGGGGGCCGAAGTTTGATTATATTATAATTACGTTAAACTTCATGCATACTCTACCCAAAATCTCTCAGTTAATGATCGTTTATTTTCCATGGTGCAATAAATGAATTAAAAATAGTAATAATAATAATAATGATAATAATAATATGTAAATGTAAACTTTATATAGCGCTAATTCTTATACTTTGTTAGCGCTTTACATATCGTTTCAAAATGTAATGAAACTTTTGATTTTTAAAGGTTATTGACTTCAATTTGCGCAAAGTAATTTACCTTTTTGATGACAAACACGATTGCAATATCACTTTTTGTTCGTATTCTTCGAAATTTGCTAGGTCTAGATTTACATTACATTTACTTCCTTCTTATAAGATTTTAAATCAAGGGTTTATTTGACTTGGCATTCATGTTTTTGTTTGTTTGTTTTTTTTTTAAGTATTGGATTTTGGCCCGGACTATTCGTTTTTTCAACTATTCGATTTTGACCCAAACTATTCGATTTTTCAACTATTCGATTTTGGCCCGAAGTATTCGTCTTCCTCCTTTATGCAATCGTACTTATGGTATTTGCCGGGATTATTTAATTTTTTGATTATTTGTTCATCTTCAGGGCACTTTATTTTGTTATGCTTGTGACTTCATAAGGACACCACATTAGGAACCTGAAAAACAGCAAACTTAACATTGTCACTCGAAATAATAGACTTTGAATAACTGTATTGTTCTGGACTGACTAGCCTCTCTTACATGTGAAATTGCTTTTGTGTTTCCACGAGGCTAGTTAATTAATTAATCATATCCTTTTTGTAATCACTACCAAATCCTGCAATCTGATTGGTTCAGAGGAGTGCGATTAATTCCCAAATCGAATCCTTAGGAGCTCTTAATCGCATCCTGAAAAAGATTTTTTTTAAACAATAAAATAAAACAAAATAAAGCAAGAAAATCAAAGCAAAAAATTTGTTCACATTTAGTTCTTTTACTACATTAAATTGATTATTCTGCACTCTTTATTGTATTTTTTCTCTCTTGTGTATGATTACAAAAAGGATATGATTAAGTGGTAATTAAACTTCGTTTCGTGCATTTTTGGTCTGAAATCAAATTTGCAATTACAAATTGCACTCCCGCTACGCACTCCACTCAGTTCAATTACCATCATTAATAGATATTCAAACTGGTCGCTATATCTTAAATCGGTGCACGTGTATTGAAAGCTTATTTTGGACCCGATTTGAGAAATACAAAAGTATATGAGAAATTCCTGATGGATGAAGGAAAAAAACTAGAACTAAACAACATAAAGACTTAATAATATACAAACCTCTTTTCTTTGTTTTTATGTGGATCTCAGCTGCAGATTCTCCAGCCTGTGCTATGTCCTCGAGCACCTTGAAGAAGTACACGGTATCTTCCTGAAGATTGCTGATTACACAAGAAGACGAGTAACATGCTGTTGTTATATCCAAACGATCTTGCTGTTTACCGTAGTGAACCACAAACGCATTGTATGCACTGGACCGGCTAGGCTTTTTGAACTTCAAAAGGATTTCTCTTGGACTTAATGCACGGCCTGATACTTTAACTGGACGAGAAGGAGCTGGGGGGRAAAAGGTATTATTAACAGTAACGAATTATAAATTCGAGATTTGTGTACGGTACTGAGAAAAGAATGTTACCAGATCAGAGAATGTCCATAAAGTAGAAAAGAAGGGCAGGTTTAGTTCTTTTAATATGCAACCTCTTAATTTTGATATTTTGCTCGATATTGGAAAACGCTGTCGAGTCTCGGGAATATCTGTCGCCCATGATCGGATGACGCAATCGACCAGTCGCAAATTTGATTGACGGGCTGTAAAAACACAAAATACCACGTGTCTTACTTTTCAGGTTCTTGCAAGGTGCATTTTTCCATTTAGGATATTCTCCTTTACTAGTAAAAGGAGATATCTTCACACAGTACTCTGTATACGCCTGCAGTCCAGGAACAATGGCACTGGTCAGATTCCCAGTTGGTGTGGTATAGACTTGCCATTTGTACTCGGTAAGTTCTTTGAAGTAGATGTGATAACCGCGGATGATGCCATTACGTTCATGTAAGGGTATTGGTTGCCATATTACGCTCATATTTTCGTAACTGACTGGAATGCACTGGGCAATAACTGGGGCCGCATTAGGGACTGAAAAAAAATAAACAAGTGAAATGTCGTCACCTATTGAGGCAGTTTTTATGAGTCGTTTATTTGATATTAGTATAATTGTGGACTTGAAAATAGTTTCTCGTGCTGTGATTGCTCGAGCGACCAGTGATTCTGAGACGATAATCACTGCTCAAGCGTGGATTATGAGGTTTTTCCAAGTTTACCGGAGTGGAAGTAATACTAAAACGTTTTAATTGAAAAGTATAAAATTATACTAAAAATAATTCTCGCGGATCGGTAAATATTCCACCAATAATAACTTGTTAAGTATCATGAGGTCATACACAGGAGCCAAGAATTGTTTCCTATTCCTTTAAAGTTGACTAATATAACTACGTTTTTCTTGATCTGTTTCATGTAATTTATATATAGATTGTTAACTGAATAATTTAACACAGCTGTTGAGTTTTGAGCACAATACGTGCATTATTGTAACTATTATTATTATAACGTGCGCTGTAATCCAAAAACTAAAGGAAAATAGTTTTCAAAAGAATTATTCGTTCATTAAACCATTCAATTCATAATGATATCTTTCTTACCATCCTCTCCTGATTTGATGATAATCTTGGATGCTCTAATTCCATAAGAGTTTACTGCATACACTTCAATGTGATAATCGGTGAACTTCTTAAGGCGTGTCAAGGTCCATGTGGTCACAGTCTTGGGTACTCTTACTGTCTTCAATCTAGTCTTTGGCTCTCTGTACTGATAGATAATTCATATCAAAGAATATGAGATGCACGACAAAAAGAAAACGAGCAAATAATTGATTTTAGAATAAAAAGGACAATGGGGTAGAGAGAGTGCCTGTTAGGACGCATTATGGGATCTACGTATTTGAGATGAAAAAAATTTGAAGAAGAATCAAGAACTTTCACGGTAAGGTTACTGTTGATCCTCTCAAGAGTATAAATCTAATTATAAAATGCTATAGAATTGAATTCTTACTCTAATGAAATAACTTGAAATTGACTTGCTGTTTTCTTTAGGGACAAGCCAACTGACCCGAAGCATTGTCGAACTTATTACAGTTGCTCGTAGTTCTTTTGGTGGCGATGGACCTGCCATACAAAATGTCAAAACCGAGTTTGCAAATGTAATCTATTCCATAGTGAATGTATTATTGTATCTTTTGAGTAGTTTTAGACTTAATGCAATGGTCTTTTTTAAGTGTTACCGCAGGTGTTCATCTCATTTGCAGGCATCCATAGTGACTGCTATTGTGCATAGCGTGTGAACGTAACAAATTTATTATAAACATGCATGCAATAATTTATTCATAAAATAGGTTTATCTGCATGCAGCTTACTTCTGCACAGCCTCGTTTTATAATTGTTTGGTATCCAGGTAGTTTTTAAGAACTTACGCATGTCGTAACATTCATCAGGACTCAAGGCTCCCTCTCTTTTGGTAATGAATCCGTATGGACAAGGAATACACTTGGTTTGTCCTTGTTCATACTGGTAGGTTTTGATAGGACATGAAGTGCACAGACCATCTGCATCCCCATATGTTCCAGGAGGACAGTTGTCTGAACATATAAAAGGCGGATACGGTTAAAATTATCATGCATAATTTTACGTAAAATAGTAAATATATCACTTACAGCACATGTATCCATTGGAATGAGGTCCTTGCCCCATTGAACATCCTAGCTGAGCAATCCATGCAGTTAAACTGCCCGCATTCCCATTGATTACTTCATAATAATTGGTTACAATAGGAGATGTATCATTTTTCAGTTTTTGGTACCAGGTTTGCAAACCATTCACCAACCTTTTCCGTTTTCTTGCAAACGACTCAACAGCTGGAACGAGAGGTTCATTGATGAATTCCTTTGATGTTTTTTTGCTTGCGTACAAAAAGCTGACAGTGGCAATCTGTAAGCCATTTGATGCAAAGTTTATGTTTTTGACATTAGATACTGGATTATTTAAAGACATGGCGAGGGCTTTCTTGAGACGAGGGAGGTCTCTTCTCGCATGGACTTTTCCACACCAAGACAAGCTACGTTCAATTTTACATGTTTTGGTGACATTAATTCTTGCTCCTAGCCTTGGTTCACCAGGAGACAAGTCTAACACCCAAACCTTTGCTTTTCTGCTCCGCACTTGTCCATAACTGTTACGAGCAATACAATAGTAATATCCAGAGTAATTTGTGGTGGGTTGCTCGTAGTACAAGAAAGTTCCATTATCATTATAGATCTTGACTTCTGAGCTGTTTGGATACTGAGAAATGAAGAACCATTCGATATCAGGCTCAGGGTCACCTGTTGCATTACACACTAACAAAAGTCCCTTCCCATCTTTAGCATACACGTTAGTGTCATTGGGATGCTCTGTTATCTTTGGTTTGCTTTTTACATAAATAATGGTTACATTGGATGTAGTGAAACCTTTTCTGTTTATCGCCTTGCACTTGTAGGAGCCTGCATGACTTGTATTAACCTTTCGTATAGTCAACAAACCATTATCTGATTGGATGACTGATTCATTGTTGTGTATCCACTGGTAAGTTACCTTTGTATCGCTGGTTGCATTACAAAACAAAGTCAAAGTCTCGTTCTCTAYCACAACCTCAGGCCTAAATGATACAAGGGTAATTTCTGGTTTTCTTCCACAGAGGACATTAGTGTCTTCTGTATGGTTCAAGAGGTAGTGCAGATCCCATAGCTTATACCGAATTTCCTCCACTGTAAAGTTCTGTGAGATCAAGTCGATGAGACGTGCCGTAATATTAGACAACCCCATTCTTATGTTTTTTGCTCGTGCAAAGTCACTTTCATAGAGATAAAGCTCATCCAAATCTTCACCAATATCGATTAGACAATCTTGAGCACCTGCGCAATTTAGAAATGATTCCTCTTTGGTAAGAACTTCTAGAAATGCTCTCCAGCTGACCAAAGTCTCGTTCCATGACATCATCGAAAAGTTTTTCTTGTTTTCAATAATTGAACCTAAATAATCTAGATACGATCTTGTCATATCTTGCGAAGTCTTGGTTTCATTTTCATCCTGAGTGCCATTTGATGTCACATTTTCAAATGTTTGGTAAACAGAAGTAAGTTTTTCAATGTCATTCCTGTTGACACGTTCAACATGCTCTCTTGCATTAACGAGGTTTTCAAGAGACTTTACAATGTCTTTATAGAAAGCATTTGCTTTTCTGGTTTCGAGGCAAAGATCGTGATTCTTCAAAGTCTGAATTCCATCTTGATTGTCCCCGACAGTTTTGTTGATTCTGTTGTAAAGTTCTTCGGGAATGGATCTTTTCCTTCTGGCACCTTTTTTCTCTTCGTACAATTCTTTTATGGCTTTTACCACTATTTTGTGAAGTGAAATCTCCTCCTTGTCGAAATCAAATAAAACAGACAAGTCCTTTTTCATTCCATCTATGGATTTCACGGCAATAGTAATTGGTATTTGTCTTTTGGTTTGCTCTGTGAAGGTGAAATCAAATATAAAATCTGATACATAAACTACCCGTTCATTAGTTCTTTCCTCCAGAAGTCTTGACAGCCTTAGGCCAATTTTAGTGCTCGGGAAGACCTTCACTTCGGGTATTACAGCCTTAGTTAGATTTTTAGCCAGCTCTAAATGTTTCAACTGTGCTTTTGCCATTTTGGTTTCTTCTAACATTTTATTGTATTTAGCTTCTGCCTTATAAAGGTCGATGGTTGCAATTTCCAGCCTATTAGCAAGACGATGTAATCGAACAAAGTCCTGGGTCTTTTCTTTCTCATATTCTAGGTTTGCATTCGGAATATTCAGTCTGTAAAGTTGCTTCTCATTATAACATGCATTGTTTCTTTTGATACATTGTGCATTCATAATCTTTGTACTGCAGGTATCGTTCATACAGATTAGTGTTGGCGGAGCGTAGCTATTTTCTATGACTTTTAATACCTTGAAAGGGCCAGTGCAATCAAATACTTTTTCTTGCAATTCATAACTTTTTCTCTCATTCCATACTTTTGTATATGATACACTCTTCATTGGACCAGGAACCATTTCATAAGTCTGATCGCAGCCAAAGATTGCATCTGCTAAAACAGAGAGAACTTTTCCAACCATATGTCCTATCAAATATCCAATAGCTTGTCCGACTACAGGTACAGGTATTTTTGTACCTAAAATTGCTCCAACTGGTCCGAGTATTTTTTCGTAATTCCTTTTTCCGCAATTCCCTTTGGCAACAAGCACAAACGTTTTCTTCTCATAATACCCTGTTCCACTTTTCCGTACGATTCGTTCTTTAACGACTGTTCTTTCTTTTTCTTCACATTTATATTCATCGACGTTTAACTTTAGCTTCTCACTTTTATAAGTGCAGTGTGTAGTTGTTGAACATTCCCATTTACATTGCTTTAGTTTACAATCTGGTAAGGTATTTACATCTTCGCCATAGTTATCATATACATAAACTTTCTCCTGTTCATATTCTGTCTCTACCATTGCCCTGGTTTTTATCACCTTTTTCTTTAGTTCCCCTAACGATTTGAGGGCCTTTTGCCTTTCTTGTAGTGTTTTCTGAAAACTGTCAAATTTATGTTCTGCTTCCCTGGCAGAATTCTCCGCATTTTCTATTCGTTGAATTGCTTTCTGCGCTAAGTCTTTAATGTGGTTATTGACTTTTCTCTGGAGCTGTTGGGGAAGACGAGAGTTCTTCTTTATTTTCCCTGAAACGTGATACTTAAGTAAAGACCAGTCCGAAACCTCTGTTTTTGCACTAACGTTCATCAAAACCTCGTGTCTTCCATAAAGTAAGCCTGATGTATTGAAAGAAAGTATATCTTGTTCTATCTTACAACGGACACTCTTTTCTAACCCCATGAAATTAATAGTTGGATTGAAGGATAAAATGCTTGCTGCTTCTCCTCTTGGTACGTTTARTAAAATTTTCTTGGCTTTATTTAGGGACATAAGTTTACCTAATTGCAAAGACTTCAAGGCTTTTCCTTGAACAATAATGCTGGAATGATTCGGTGCTTGGTCCGTCTTGGAACGACTGCTGTCTAGTGTTACGTTCAAGCCTTCGAAGCAAAGTCGTTTAGAGCAAATTTTTCCTTGGAATAATATTTTGAAACCATTGAAACGTTTTGAGACTGCTGAACGCTTGAAAACCAGATTGGGAATTTCAGGAAAACTGATTACTATTTGATTTACTTGGGCAACAAGGAGGCTTCCTGTCGTTGGTATCTTTATCTTTGCTGTTGATTCGATTACTTTGCACAGGAATTTGGTATCGCGAAGTTTGTTTCGCAAACGAGAGATCAAAAGCGAAAATTTTAATTTATTCTTGGAAGGAAGAGTCCCGATGATAGAACGAATGTCACTTACGAGAGTGTTCAATTCATCGATAAAATTTGTCCATCTTCTTATATTTTCTTTTTTCGCTAAACCATCCATTTGTGGGTTATTCATAATTCCTTTAAGTTGAAAAACTAGAAAACCTATTTTCATTAATTTGATATTGTAATCATTTAAGTTCACGATTACTGTCTGTTTTCCTCCTTGTACTTGGTGGTCCAGTGAGACAAAGACAGGTTGGTTCATTGCTGGGCGTATCATGGTCTTAAGAGGCGTACCTTGAAGCAGTCGAGGAACTTTTTTCCATTTCAAAGAAATCCCCTGGCGTAAGGCGCTTCCTGCATACATTAAAGCAAAAGAAAATTTTAAAAATGTTTTAAGGATCTTCTGTTGAAAACCATGACTACGTTTCAAACATGATGGTAATGTTAAACTTACCACCCCAGATAGATTTTCCAAGGACGTCTTCGGATGGTAATTCTATATTAAGCTGTTTGTTAAAGACAGTTGTCGTCATGTTAAGAGCTGCCTTTCCTTTCCATATTCCTGTGATGTTCCGTGCAAATCCATAGTGCAAAACCTTGTGAAACAGTAATACAAAATCAATAATTTTACAATTCCGTAATCTACCTTTGTTTGAAACCACTTACTTCGGTTATGTTGAAGGTGTCAACAAAAACTTCTCCCTGATAATCCAACGACATCTTGGTATTTTCGTTCTCTAGTTTTGTCTTTATCGTTCCTTTAAGCACTACTTTATATTCATGCGATTCAAGATTCTCAAACTGCCTTCCATACCATAAGCTCTGCCCGATGGTAACTATAGCTTTTCCATTTCCAGGAAACATGGCACCAGTAAGACCAATGTCCCAGCCAGCGTTTCTTATGTCTTGGAAAAGTACTGATGACTTGATTGTTTTTGTACTTTCAATTGGAAAGGCGAAGCCAACGTCTGAGGTACACACATCGATTGCATAACAAAAGCCTCTCTCATCAGGTAAAGTGATGTCTTCATCAAGGGTTATCATCGATCCGATGCTGGGCTCATATGTCATGATTGCACTCGATGATTTGAAGATAGAGGAACAAATCTTGGAGTTGGATCCAATATTGGCATAGATATTCCTCAAATCAAAGGAACTAGAATTTTTCTTCTCTTGTATTTGCAGCCATAGTGGAGTTGATTTCGAGAACGTGCGCAAGAAAGATGCAGTAAAGACATCGTGTTCGACAAGTTCCATTATCTGAGGTAAATCTAATGTTGTTGTTTCGCAAGCATGTTTTGAGTTAATCTTTTTAATTCTCACGTTTTTGTTCATTTGACTTATCTGCTTAACTCTGTTTAAAAAACCCTCAGAAGGTTTTGATGAAAAGTCTACACCAATTAAAGACAAAGGAATGGGGTGTCCCTCTTTAGAGATTAAATGCACTAATCCCTTTGTCGATATTTGTCTAGTTGATGGGTTTTGTTTCCATGGCTGCGTTGATGACAATTGCGCAGGACATTTGAACATGTCAGCCCTCTTCAAGTAACAGCCAACAGGTAGTTCCCCTGGTAAAAGTGGGATTTGCGTGAAGATATTTTTCTGATTGGGAGTCTCTGGGCTAACAAAAAGAACGCTCTCTGCAGGATTCATGTAGTCCTTTGCACTTTCTCCATGAACGGAAAATGATAACACCTTCAGACCAGGCTGTTTGGATTCTAAAGTAACGTCTGCTTTGTTACTTGATTTGAATAATTTCGGCTTCGAAGGTTGAGCAATCACATTTTCGTCGGATTGAATAGAGATCTGAATTTCTTTTGAGGGTTTGGCTTTAAAAGATAATGGCAAAGACTGAATATTTTCCTTGAGCTTTGGAAATAATGGAACGTTTATTACTCCGTGCTCACATTGTTTCCCTTCATAACCAGTGTTAGAGCAGTCGCATTGAAAATCCTTGGATGTGAGTGGTGTACATTTACCTCCATGACGACAGGGGTTGGGCATGCAGGACCTCGCATCTTTTGTAGAAAAAAAAATAAAGGAAAGGAAGAATAATAAATAAAAACACTTGCTTGGAGTATTAACGACTAAAAAAAATAAACATTTTACTTACGATGACATTGAAAGTTGTTTTTCCAAGCCACTCCCATTTTATCTGCTGTGAGGACGCAAGATAAATTGCTGTTCCCGGTATGATAAAATCCAGATGCACATCGCATGGTACAGGAAGAACCATAAGTCCTGAAACATGGCAGGGACAGGATTGCATTGACTGGTGGTTTGATCATGTCACACATCTTGGCTATAACAGAGAAAAATTGTCATCTATAAGATTTCGAAAATCACAATAAAACGAAAATCAATTTTACTAAGACTGTGCCTTTGCATATTGCTTGTGGACCACTCCATCGTGACGTTGGCATACAGGTTATGCTGGAAGGACCCTCCATGTAGTAGCCATGGCTACATGCAAATGAGCAGTTGTCGTTGGTTGCCATGCCAGTACAGGTCATTGTTCCATGAGGTTGTTGTACGAGAGTCGGACAAGGAAGTGCTGAAACATATCGGTAAGTTATACGTTAAAACTTCATTATCAAACTCATTGTAAATATGAAACAAAACTGTGTTCATTTGCATAAACTTTAAGTTGTATTTTCTTGGCCAAATTCACTTTAATTTTGAAAACTTTAGTGAAACACAAAGGAACTGACCTAGACGTTTGATAAGTCATATACAGCATTCGTGTCCGTGTTGTATCAGATATACAATCACTCGGCTACGCCTCGTAGCTGTATATCTGATACAACACGGCCATTCATACTGTATATATTACTAATATTAAAGTTCTCACAATAAACATGGCATACCTCTACAGGATTTGCCATCCTTATGAAGCTCATATCCAGTGACGCAGCTACATGTATACGTTCCTCGCGTATTGATGCATGTCTGGCTGCACTTGTGGGTTCCCATCATACACTCGTCAATATCTGATGCAGGACACAAATAATAATAATATTAATAATGATAATAACTTTAACTATAGCAAGGACATTTAAGATCATAACATGAACATTTGTATACAACATGATATAGAACATTATTGACCGAAGAAGAACTGTGGTATACCAGGTATAAAATGCCTTTGTTTTTTTTCTGATTCCTGCAAAACAATTTGAACAAGTTGCGCAATAGTACCCATGGGTCTTCACGAACTTACCCAAAAGACCTTTGTGGGTATCTGCTATAGGGTTCCCATCTATACTCCAATCAATTATCATATATCAGATGTCAATCAATGTTATCATTTGTTGTCAAGTGATCAAGAGAGGGCGGAGCTAGCAGATCACGTGGCACAGGTTTATGTCTACGCATGCTCTATTTCGTTGACCGCCGTAATAAAAGACAGCCGAACTAGAAATATTAATTTACTATCAATTTCGCAGTCAAGGATTTCAAGCAGAGAAGTTGAAGCGATTATTCCCAAGAATTTCCAATGAACTTCATGTGCAAAACCTTGTTTTGGTTCATCTATTCATGATTCATCTACTCGAACAGTATTTTCTGCACGAACAAGCGAAGATCGATGAGGAGAACAGGGTTTCAAGAGTCAGAATTATACGATAAGCGATATTGTAGTAAACAAATATTTCATTCGGTATGACTCGTTATTTTCTTGAACTTGACAATATATTCTTATAACCTATTTTTATGTATTTATATTAACTGTTTTGGCTTCAAAGTCTACTCACAAAGGAACATAAGGTACATAGCAATATTTATTTATTTTTAAGACTTCTTTTCCAGGGTTTGATCTTTGCCGTTCTGAGCGTATGATCTCCTTTAATTTTCCTTCAAAAAATGGCGATTCATTAAAAAATATCGATAAATTATAAAATGTAAATCAATTATGAGAGAGATTTTGAGCAAATATTAGCCTGTATTTACGTTTTACGACTTATATTGTAAATAACTGTAAGATTTGTTAATATTTTATTGATGAGCATATCTAATTTTATACTGCTGTCATGATAATAATAATAATAATAATTATTATTATTATTATTATTATACAGCTTCTCATTAATCCCATATAGGTAACTGTCCAATTATTTTCTTAATTGGACAGGTCTTGTTGATATGGGATTAATTAGGCAGCTATATAATTAATAGGTAATGGGATTTCATGCTCCCCAATCAAGAAATAATTAGACTCGAAAAATTCCTCTAACTGCCAAATTGGACTCGGCCTACGGCCTCCTCCAATTTTGTCAGTCCTCGGAATTTTTCTCGTCCAATTATTTCTTAATTGGACAGCATGGAGTCCTATTACATATACTAATAATAATAGAAGCAACTTATACTGAGATGATTACTATCTTTTTTACGAACCTTCACAACTTCTTCTGTCTCTTTGTAATGCGAATCCACTTCGACACCCACAAGTGTAGCTGCCTTTCGTGTTGAGGCATGTATGCTCGCAGTTAGACAGGGAATACTTTGCATTAAAAAGACCATCTATCTTGCGCGATTGGCATTCATCGATATCTAGATAAGAATGAAAATGTCACCATTTAATAGACCTCCACAAAACGTTCTAGGTACAAAAATTGCAGCTGTAAAACTAGCCAATTTCATAGACTCGTTATTAAATCTCTCATATACCTGAACATGTGCTGTTGTCGGGGTTCAGTTGATATCCCTTCCTACAAAAACAGGTGAAACTACCGATTCTGTTCGTGCAATTGTGATGACAAGGATTGTCCTCTGAACACTCGTCAATATCTAGAGGATAATAATGAAAGTCATAAATACACCTTAGTGTCATCTTCTTGAAATATAAAGGTGGATTAATAGATTGCAGTATCGCGATTCTCCTATAAGAGCCGTGGCCTAGAATTACCACTCTCGATTGTTTAATACCATTTGATTGACGGCAGGAGGGGGAGTGGGGGAGGGACACATTCAAAAATCCGCCATTTTGTTTGAGCTTCCAAAACGACGAACCCCCAAAACGGCATTGGGTTTTACGTTTAAGTTATACAAAAAAGTAAAAAAAAAAAAACTTGAAAACTAGTAGCTTATACACGTTGTACTTGATTTCTAAAAAAATCGCTGTTTTGTTGCCACGAATGTGGGGAGAGGGGAAGTGGCCCCCTTGCCCCCCTCCCTCTGCGTACGCCTTTGAGCTATATATCTTGCACTTTCTGCTACAGGTGGGTGAAAAATATCGTACAAAATTTGTTGCCTTTCAAGCTACGCTTCGACGAAAATTTGCTTTAAGCTTACAACAAATTGATTGCATATATGACAGAAAAATCGTAGAATCAGTTATCCTTTATTGACTTTTTTTTATGCATTAGCATGTAAAACTGAAGTAAAAAAATATCAGCGAAAACAGATGAAGCAATAAAATTCTTTTAAACTTAATCTAATTCTTTTTTATAATGATAGTGGAATGTTGATGAAAACAAAGTTTTCAAAAACGCTAAACGTCCATTTTCTCAAACTTTCCCGGTCAGAAACCGTTGTTAGGAAGACCACTGTTCAGTCAGTGAGAATCTCAAATCAGAATCGATTTACTTGCTTTTTCCTTTATTTTTGAATTGAGGAGAATTGCGATACAAAACGATTTTGAGACGGAACAATACCACGAAATACTGACGGCGTTGATAAAAAATATATTCACGAATTGGGCTCCAACGCTTCGCGACTCCGCCCAATACGGATTATATATTTTCTCCCAACTAACCGTCATTTTTTTGCGATATTGCCGTCTCAAAATGGCTATTAATTTATAGTATTACCTCAAAAACATAATCTCACCTGTGCAAGCCATTTCATTTTCCTCCAGGCGATATCCTTTTCTACACGCGCATTGCCTTGAGCCAGCAGTGTTGTTACAAATTTGTTCACATTTGCCATTATTCTTCTTGCATTCGTCAATATCTAAATTGGATCCAGAAATATAGCCTATAGTATCCATTTCCACAACTCTGAAATAATAATTGATGTATGATAATGTAGTAATTTGCATGCGGGCGGGTCACGTGCTGGAGAAAACGAAAACTAGTTCAGTGGTTTTCATGTTGTCCCAGAGATTAATATGTAAGCTTATATAAGTGGCTTATCTTACCGTAGTACGCCTAGTATACTTTGGACTATAGATTGACTCATAATCGTGTACTCGTTAATGAAATATTATTAATCTACAATTGAAAATAAAAATGGCAAACCATCACACAATGTTCCATTTTGTYGGTATCCTTGACGACAGGAACATCTATAACTTCCAATAGTGTTTACACATGTTTGTTGGCAAACGTTTTCTGCACATTCGTCCGTATCTGTTCATGAAGTAGAAGGTGGAAATTGAGATTAGAAAGCTTTGTACGCAATGTTCCTCGATCCAGAAAGCCAGCAGAAGCGAAAAACGCAATTTCCACAGGGAGCATCTTTGTTTTTCTATATAATTCCCCCATCTAGGTATATATCTGGTATCTATATCATGGTAGAGTACAAACACTAAAAGTGTGCAACACTTTGCACTATTTAGTAGTAARTAGTGCTAATTAAACAATAGAAAACAATAGGATTAGCATAATTTAGCAGTATTTAGTGGTATTTATGTTACACACATAGTGTTTGTACGTACTCTATCCATACTAGAGGAATTATATGGCAAAAGTGAGCGCGAAAAGAATGTTTAAGTGCATTTTTAATCGATTGTTTGCTCTTTCATATTACGGGTAATAATATGTTCACCTCGAATTAAAAAACTAATTAATTATTTCATTTTTCCGATATTATTTTCACCTATCACTTTTATCTAAATTGGGCTCCCTGTGCATTTTCTCGTGTTTTGTCTTTTTTTTTATTTTTTTATTTTTTTTTTTTAACCAACTTTTCAACAACCTCGAAGTCCGAAAAATGTTTGATTCGGAGAATTCGAAAATCCGGGCTCTACTTCTAGCAGGTGCCAGACTTGAAGACGCAAGCAAAACCCTTTATCAAAGCCCGGAACAATTTGGATACAAAGATAGCATGCCGTTTACCTGCTGACCGTTTGTTATCATATGCAACTAAACAAATTGCTCGGTTTGACTTACCTGTACACACTGTACTGCCAACCAGCTTAAAGCCTGTTCCACAAGAACATCTATAGCTGCCTTTTGTGTTTAAACACCTGGCTCCACAAGCAGTAGTGCTCGACGCACAGCGACATGGCGATTTATTGCATTCGTTAAAATCTAATTAAGTAAAAACCTGCATATAAGAACCATCTATTTTCAAGGTTATGCTAAACTGGTTCTTATATATTTGGTATCTAGTGAGAGGTTAGGGTAAGGGGGTTCTTAACTGGTTCTTATATGTAGAACCAAAACAATTAATTTCCTCATATAGCGTATAATAAGTTATTATCATATCACAGGGGCGGATCCAGGATTTTGTTCAGGTAGGGATGCCGCACACAATGTTAACCCAGGGAGGGGTGCACCCCTTAGAATCAGATGTAAAAATAGTTTTGGTTATCTTCGAAGTAGAGGCACAAATTGGAACAATGGAGGGGTGCGCACCCCCTGCACCCCTCTCCTGGGTCCGCCCCTGTAACAATATATAACAATATAACCATACAATAATAAATGTCACAAAATTCACAAATGTGAAACTTGTGAATTTACATACAATGTCAAACTTTTAAAATTGCGTATTATATTTTATCATATGACCCGTACGGCCCTGCTCGCGCGCTCTAATAAAACCATTGGAAAAAGTCACGTGATGGGGGCCGGACGGGTTGACGCAAGCGGGCCGGAAAAACCCGTCCGGCCCTGCTCGAATCCGCGCGCTTTCTTTTTCTTAATTATTTTTATTTTCGAGAGGCTCATATGATAAAATGCAAATGAAAATATATCATGCAAAAGTAAGAGTTAATTACCTCGAACGGAGGCAATAAGCCATATACATCCCGAGGGCCGCAGGCCCGAGGGATGTATAGGCTATTTGCCGACGTTCGAGGTAATTAAGTATTTTATTTATCAATTGAGAAGGTTTTCTATCAAATGTTGCTCATTATAAATGCGAACGGTCTATATATAGTTATTAACCGAGTTAATAACTATATATTGACCTCGCATTTATAATGAGGGTTATAACAAAAATAAAGCCTTGTGAATAACAAAGAAAACCGTGTCAATTGAGAAATAACCGAAGTTAGAACCACTTTTCTCAAAATCGACTCCAACAATTTCTTTTAAATCTCCTGCACAAAAAATTCAATCCTTTGTGAGGTCAAAATGCTAACTTTTATTTTGTTAGATACGGACGCGCGAGCAAAAATAAACAAAATTGGTAAAATTTTCATAATCTTAATTTATGTTTTCAAAATCACCCAACAAAGTTAACCTTTTATATAAGAACCAGTCCAATTTTTAGGCTAAAGTGGTTCTTGTATAATTGGTGCTTAAAAAGCAAATTTTAGCCTAGTGGTTCTTAATCCACTGGTTCTTATATGCGGTTTTTACTGTATAAGGGAAGAAAAGAAGAAGTGGAAGAAGAAACGACTGTATAATAAGTGGCGGTAATAGTTAGGTTAACATTAAAAACAATTTTCAGAGAACTGACCTCGACATGATTTTGATCCCGTGTATCCACGATAGCATGCACATTTGTATGAGCCACTGTAGTTGATACAGTTTTGTTGGCAGCCTCCGTTGTTGGAAGAACACTCGTTTTTATCTTAGTAGAAATAATAAGATAATCAACCGTCCTGAGTATGATTTATTGCTACCTTTTGTCAAGAAGAATATTACCAATATACCAAAACGGCAAAAACAGGTACCTTTTTATCTGCTTTTCGGATTTCCTTCAAAGGGTGAAACTTGAAAAAAGGTGGGAAATTTCATCACATCCATTCATAGATAAAACACTAAATGTTCTAACTTTTTATCAACTAAAAAGGTACCTTTTCTAATCATTTGAATTTATTTTTTAAATCTATGAAAAGGGTAGGATTATTGACGTCCTAAGAAAGAAAATATATTGTAAAAGCTGAATTAATTGTGATTTTTAGATTCTAAATTCAGGATTTTAGAGAAAGTAGAATTGCCACAATCTATCACTGATTGAACATGCGCGCGGGAAACATGTTTCTGGAAACGTGTTTCCTCGTTTAGCCAGAGCCTAATAAAGGCTCCAAGTCCACACTTGTATTCACTCCACAAAACTGTCTATCTAATATTTTGTTTTAACGTAATACAATGAAAATATTTACGATCTTTTTTATTATCGATGTTTGGCTTGATTATTTGATTTATTGCGAGTCAAGTTCTGTCAAGCAATTTTCTCACGCATTTTCAAAGCTGTTACTGACTGTGACATCACTGCAGGCTTTTGAGTGTATTTGTTTTAATTTTCAGCACTAAACACTAGCCATAGAGACATCAAATTTACAGTAAATATTGTAGAAACCTTGAGTATAATGATGGATGCTTTTTAAAAAACTGTGTGTGGGAACCAGTCAAAATGTGTATATTTAATCAAGCCTGGGATGACGTCACGGTCATTAACATAATGGAAGTAAAAAGACCCAATGCAAATGGCAAAAATATTTTAACATTCAACTATTCACTTTGTAGAATCAATACTGAAATCATTAATGTATCAGGGGTTAAAGGTACATTTTAAGTAACGTAGTGAATCATGGTTGTAAAAGGGCCTTACCATACTGGCATCTTGATCCTTGCCATCCTCTATAACAGGAGCACGTATCTGGTGACGTGCACGATCCATGGGCACACCCACTGGAACAGATTGCTAATTATACATTCAAAATATAGTTTTTAAGTAATTTTGGTAAGGACATAGGTTATCACCGAACAGGGAAGGGGCTAGTCTCCCTCGCAGCCGCTATTAATGTCGTCATGCAATGCTTTCTCCCCTAAGCGTTGCGTGATGACACTGATAGCGACTGCGAGGGAGACTAGGGGGCAGGATTTCTATTTATTCAAAATATAACGTATAGTCGTCATAATTTCAGTAGACAGAGGGCCACGGGTCATCGGTGTTACCCTCTATGAATAACGTCACCATACTAAACGAGCTTTCACTGGCATGCAGATTGGCCTTGATGTGATGTGATGTGATGCGATGCGATGCGATGCGATGCGATGCGATGCGATGCGATGCGATGCGATGCGATGCGATGCGATGCGATGCGATGCGATGAAATGATATCTTTTGTCTTTTACTAAATTTCCCTTCATTTAATATATGCGACAGGGAAATTTAGTACGGGAAATTCGGGTTTGTAAAGACAAAAGAATCCGAGGTGATCATGGTATTACCTCTGATAAAGCCTCCTAGAGTAATTAAACAAAGCTTCTCTTTTATGAAAATGTTTCTTTGGGCTAAGAGTTTATAGACAAAAAGAATAACTTGAAGTTTCTTGAGTAGATATTTCGGACGATATCCATCGTCCATCATCAGTTTAATGACTTCATAAGTGTTACATTACAGTGAATACTTTAGCCCTAGGGACTAATACGTATTAATGAAGTACTGTAAACCCTAGGGACTAATATGCGTACATAGATATTGTTCAATTTAATAGTTTTAGAGCGACAGATTGTCCTTGTTCGTTCAAGTCTGGTTTTTGTTCTTTAATTAGGATGGCTTCAGCTATTTTTCGTTTTTGTTGCCAAGGATAATTCTCAGCAAGTACTTGGAAGTCGTCCTGATCAATTCCACATGTTCGTGGTTGTTGGTTTTACTGTGTTTAAAGAGAGTAGATTTCTTGTCCCTGGTTCCGTGATCTATTATGCGCTCWTCAAGTCTTCTAGCCGTCTCCCCGATATATGTTGAAGAGCGCTTTGGTTCTGGGCATGTAGCTTTATATACGAGGTGGTGCTTGTGCTTAAGGCGTGGTTTATCTTTAACAGGGAATTTTGAGCCTAATTTCCTAGCGTTTTATGTTCTGTGATTTTATTTATTCTCTTTGTATATTATATACATTTTTGGAAGTTTCCTAACCTTCAAATAAGAATGCAGCGTACATATAACAGGACTTTGGTATACTTGGACGAAGACTTTCGTAAATAAACTCTCTAAGCTTCCTGCTTTTGTTTCTGAGACGTTTTAGAGTTCGTAACATATTCTAGTGGGCTCACGATGATGATGCTTATTTGACTTAACATGAGATAGCTCATTTGATATAGCATGATTCTCGATAGGCTCACTCACGATTGTTCGCTCGTATATTGATCTCTCGTTGACCAACCTGTTTCAATGTGTTTTATTCAAGAGAATATTAAGTAAGAGAGCACATCTCCCATACATGGGTCTGTAACCATGAAAGTTTCTTGAAAATCTAACTTCATATTCTCTTGGTTTTATTACAACGATTATAACGACTCAGAATAGCTCAATGCTGATAGAAGGAGTAATATGATATATAAATTCGCAGGAATCATATTCGAGTTATTAATCATAAAGTTAATTCTAAGTCTCTAATGTACTTTCTGGCTCAGTAACCGTGCAGCTGTCATCTACGGAACGTAATCCTTCACATAGGATGTGGGTCGTCGGATGCGGTGTGGTCGAGCTTTTATGTAGGCACACTCGGCGGGGGATGTTCTTCAGGGCATCCCATAGGCGTCGTTTCTGTATTGTCAGGCTTCACCTCTTTCGTCTTCTTGAGGTGGCAGCAGTTTCTCCTGTACACTGCTCCGTCGGGTGTTTCTACCATGTATCTCATCTAGTCTAGACGTGCATTACTGTACCTTTCTTCCACACCTTGTCCCCAACTTGGAAGGGCTTCATTCGTACTACTTCACCCTCAGTTAAGGGAGGTAGGTCGCGAATGTGTTGGTTGTAGTAGTTAGATTGTTGTTGTCGTTTTGTCAAATCCTTGATCTCTCTGTCTCTGTGCGCAGTTCTGGGTTGCAGGAGAACTTTGGTTGTGGGCAGGAGTTTTCGCGTCCTTCGGCTCATAGGCGCTGTACTGAAATCGAGTYCATCCCTTATGTCGGTGTATTGCGAAAGTCAAGTATCGCTATGTATGGGTCTGAGCCAGTGTCAAGAGCTTTGCGGACGAGGTTCTTTGCGGTCTTGATATCATAGTATTCATGCTTACATTCAGCGACGAGACTTTCGACAAATCCGCCTTTGCACAACCATGTGCTCATATATATGGCTCATTCTACGCATGCGCTTAGACTTCACGCATGCGCTTAAGAAACCCCACAGCGATTCGTGACTGAACGCAAAAAAAAAAAAAAGGTAAATGAAACCGAATTTATACCTCGGGCATTTCTAAGGAAGCCCGAGTAAAAAGCCGGTACTGAAACGAAACCTTATTAATAAATCAAGGGCGCCAGGACAGACGGATTGGGTTTTAAATATGTGTGATTGTTTCAGTTATTCGTAGATTTCTAATTGAATTGATATATGTTTGTTTCTAAATGGATACTAAATAGTGTTCACTTATCTTTCCATCCAACGGTCTTTCTGGTTCGAATCAGCCGTACGATANGATATGAATATATTTACCACGTCCACCAACGGTCTTTCTGGTTTGAATCAGCTGTACGTACGCTCTGAGTATTTACCGCTGCACTATCCGTGCCAAGCAGCGCCGGCGTCGCTTTGTTAGCGATTACTCACATTTAATAAGTTAATCAGATTTACCTTCAGTACAGTAAAATAGACCGGGGTAGGAAAGCAAGAGCGGTTCTTTTGTGCTCTCGTCTGCTCGGATAATCCAATTATTTTGGCAGCACATAGGGCACTTTGTTTACACAGCGATGACAGATAGGACTTTGGCGAACGCAAAACGAAGCCCGAACCACGGTTCGTTCTTCGTAATACGAACTCGAGGTCAAGCTAGCCAACGATCATTGTGTTCAATTTACAAGTGTGTTATGGTGCGGTTCGTAGGGTCATAGTCATTGGTAAGGTAGTGGGTTCCTGAAATATCTTCAAAATCAATAACAAAATAAATGCCCGAAATATTTTTAGATTCTCAAAAAAATAAATGCCCCATCTGGGCCCATTTGTAGCCAACCGATCGACATGTGATATATGATCTGTGATATAGTTAATATGTATCGTCATCTAACTTTCTCTACACATGTTGATTATTATTGCGTGGGTTCCTGTCTAAGTACATACGGCTTTTTCTCTAGCAGGGTTTGCTTTCGATTTCCCATTTGTTTTGTTCCTATGATCTATTTGCGATTACTTTATACCCACTATTGCAAAAAGTACGTTACACTGAGGCACACACGGGCATGTTCTCGAGGACGGGTCTGTCATCGAAAAAGTGTCGTATTACGAAGAACGAACCGTGGTTCGGGCTTCGTTTTGCGTTCGCCAAAGTCCTATCTGTCATCGCTGTGTAAACAAAGTGCCCTATGTGCTGCCAAAATAATTGGATTATCCGAGCAGACGAGAGCACAAAAGAACCGCTCTTGCTTTCCTAYCCCGGTCTATTTTACTGTACTGAAGGTAAATTTGATAAACTTATTAAAGGTGAGTAATCGCTAACGAAGCGGCGCCGGCGCTGCTTGGCACGGATAGTGCAGCGGTAAATACTCAGAGCGTACGTACAGCTGATTCAAACCAGAAAGACCGTTGGTGGACGTGGTAAATATATTCATATCGTACGGCTGATTCGAACCAGAAAGACCGTTGGATGGAAAGATAAGTGAACACTATTTAGTATCCATTTAGAAACAAACATATATCAATTCACTTATAAAATCTACGAATAACTGAAACAATCACACATATTTAAAACCCAATCCGTCTGTCCTGGCGCCCTTGAATAAATASCACATTTGTGCAAAATACAAATGTAAGTCAAGAAGTCTATATTCTCTACTTTCACATCCCCATACTACTTTGCGTCTTTGGGGAGTAACCAGAGGGTAAAAACCCACTTATTAATGTTGACAATACCTTGTTTGGTATCCAAAAATATGATGAAGAAGTAAAAAAACAGAAAAAGATAGAAGCTTGAAGACGTTTAAGGTAAATTTTAAGCATTTTTTCGTAAGTCAATACATTTTCTGTAAGACCAAAACCCTTGATGGTCTGTACACGCAAAAATAACTTGGAATAAACTTATAATTAGTATCGTACAGACAACAGCAGGCAAAGTATAAATTCAATTAAGAAACCAATTTTTAAAATGACATAAAAATTAAAAAATAATTAATCTTTTAAAAGATTCATGCAGATTACAGTTACTGTGGTGGCTGATAAGCACAGGGAGCCCGGCTGTACATGAACAAATAAATCAACAAAGTACTCTAGGTTTCCAGTGTGTTGAAACAAGACGTTTTAAAATACGTAACTTGATAATTAGATTTGAATTTTAAGCTCCTCTCAAGCTACGTTTACGTTTACGTTAATCTGCTATTGTTACTGGTAATACGACGGGTCTTGGTAAAGTGCGAGTCCGATAGTTGCGAGTTGCGAGTTGCGAGTTGTTGAAAAAATTATACTTTAACGATAACTTCACTTTGTAAAACTATCAAAATCATGGTTATCGAAACCCAAGCAACAAAACTCAAGAATGTCAAGTTGATGACAGGTAAATAGGAGATCATTTTCTACGACCTCCTGTCACATAAATATCCGAACGAATATTTAAACATTGTGAAAGTACGTCGGTGGTAAAATGTTAAAACGTACCGTCACGAACCCCTACATTTTTAAACATATCTGCTAATTTATTGCTGTTTTTTTTTTTTT